ATCCACACACCCAGGAACATCCACACACCCAGAAACAGGCATCCACACACCCAGGAACATCCATACTCTCAGGAACACCCATCCACACACCCAGGAACATCCATCCACACACCCAGAAACATGAACCCACACTCCCAGGGACATCCATCCGTACTCCCAGGAACGGCCACCCCATGCCCGGGCAGGTGAGCCCATCCTGAGCCGAGGGCTGGGGGAGCTGGGGGAGGCTGCCACTGACACCAGCGCTGCTTCCTGCTGGGCTTCAGGGAATCATGTCCAGAGACAGCTGGTAATCCCAAGAGAATAATTCACACAAGAAATACGGTGAAATTTTGAGGCTTGTCTGCTGATCCATCCTTTCTAACCCTACCAGGTCTCCTGTCCTTACCCTAGCTCCCTCCTGCTGCTTCTTACACATTTTCAATAGTTCTGTATCAGTGAAGGTCTCAGAACACCTTGAATCAATACAACCCACTTCATTCTTTTCCTTTGGACTTTGTCATACCCTTTTTATCTTGGGGAGTCACAGAGCCTGCAGCCTTTCATCACGTGCAGGCAGACAGCTTCCCTGATATGTGAATTGTGAGGAAAAAAGGACAAAAACACTTCCCTCTGGTCAAGTACAGAAAAATGTGAGTACGGAGTACAGTAAGACTCAAAAGTCTATGTCCCATATAACCCATGAACATTTAATCGTGAGCTTCTTATTACAATACAATTTTGCTACTTTTTTTTTTAATTTTCTGTGCATGGAATGACAAGCAAAAAAAAAATAATGTTCAGAATGCTGAGACTATTTATCCTGCAGAAGTTTATAATACTCTTTCTTTCTCATTTATCCATCATAACTATTTTCTTCTTAGCAGCTAGATTGGTTTTTATTTATTTTTACAATTTAAAAAAAATATTTGCACTTCTCATTGATTTTTGCCTCCATGGAACAATATGTTTTGTGGCATTTTAACAAATTAAATTTCACATGATCGATTTTTCCAAACTGTAATTCTTCAAGTGTAGTTCTCATTTTCATGTACAAGAAAGATGAGGCAGATAAAATAACTCAAGAGGTAGTGACTGTGTTGTAAAGTTTGACTTTATGAAAGAAGTAATGCGATGACTGTTCAAAACTAAACTGTTTGAGGTCTGTGGGATTTTAGGGCCTGCCACAGTGCCCCTCTCAATACTGCTCACAAATATAAAAGCTGTCTAATCTGTTTTGCAACTAAAATTTAAGTTTATTCCAAGTAGTCTGTTCACAGAGCCAGATTCTAAGGGCAGCTGTGACTTGGCAAAACCAAGGTCACATCCATCTTTTCCATTTCAGAATTTCTCTTTCAATCTAAAATAATAGATTTTATAGTAAATTTGTTTATAATTAAGGGAATATACTTGCCATTTAAATGTCTGATTTTCCTCACTATATGCTTTGCCAGGAGCACCCCCAATGTGCTGCAACTAATCCTACCATGCAGTGAATACTCCAGAATTTCTAAGATATCTGTGTGCCCAACTTTTGCAAAATCGGCACCTAAAGTCTTTCATTATGATAACTGAAATCTGAAAAAATGACTTTTTACTGAATAGTTTTGATGCACAGAGCCTTAAGTAATACAGCTGCTTTGCAGCCTGAACCATCTACTTCATCAAGAACAATGATGCTGACCTCACTTTACAGCCAAATCCAGCCCTGCAGGTGAATCTGAGGGATGCACAGGTGCCTCCGGAGGAAAATCGGCCATACAAAAATCAATATAACCACACAAAAAATATAAGAAGGAAACACTCCCTGGGAGCTTACTAATAGGTTTTTGCAGCATGTCTTTCACATTTAGATTAATCAATAAAGTAAGAGCCATCACTGTAAATGTATAGGCATATAAGCTTCAAGGCTCTATTTCTCAATTACACAATTTTCTTGGATATTATCTCTAATCAAAATACCTTAGTTGCTAATTCATGCCCTAACATGATATTTTGAAAGAGGAAGTTGGATTCTCTGACTGGTTTAGAATATAATGAAAGCTGAAATATTTTAACGTATTTTCAAAAGTAAAACTCAGCTTACTTTTAACTCTGGAATTGTGACCTGGTCCCTATTCACTAACCCCCCTGGGGCTCCCACTAAGGCCTTGTCCTTTCCAAGTTGGACAAGACCCAACACCTGAGCCACTCATGGTGGCCCTTTCCTGAACCCTCTCCAGGTTTTCAGTGTCTTGCTTGTTTTCTTTGCTATTTACAAATATACTACAGCAGCTATCCCAAAGTGATTGGCAAAACAGAATCCCAGTAGACAGCGTTGTCTTCTGATTAAGATGATTTCTGTAGATTCTAGCCTGAGGTCTATCAGTGGCACACTGTATTTCTGAGTTTTCTTATTCTTACCTTTGATATTTATAGTGTCTCCCTCTCTTCTAACAAATTATTTGCTCACAAGTCACCGGAGGAAAAAAGTTGACATAGTAACATTGTTGTACTTAGAAGTATTAGAAATAATGGAGAGACGGTACTTATTAAAATATGATCACTGTCTTGAACTGCATAGAACAGGCATAAGTAGAGAATAATTCTCATTCTTGTTCTCCCAGGCGCAAAGCTGCATATTCACTTTAGGTTTCAGTTCCAAATTGCAAGAATGTTCAACTGAAAAATGCGCCTATTTTCCAATATGGAACTCTTCTCTGCTCCTGACTGCTCTTTTCCAGTGGTTTAACTTAACTACAGCAGAGAGAGGCTGGATGGGAGCAGTGAGAGATCACATCACATCTATCTGAATTAACAAGGCTACAAACAACTACACTTAGTTCAACTAAGCTGAATGGATCAACAAATAAGTAGAACTACTCTTTTCCACAGCTTCCCAACGTAAGTCACAAGAACTCCAGCCTTTGGAAAATTCTCCTTTAAAGCAAGACTAATTAATTTCACATTCTTGTTTTTTGTACATGTTAATACCTTTTATAGGTACTTAAGCTGAGCAGTCATGTAACTTTTTATGTTTTAATGTATCATATGTCTTTAATAAATAACTTCTAGTGTTGTTTCTTCCACCTTGCTTTTCTTCTATGCATACCATACATCTACTCATACAAATGCTGTGCCTTCCCTCTCTACGAATTATAAAGGATTGTCTCTATTAAAGAGTTCTACTCTGTTTTGTTTAATTTCACTGATTAATGCTTTCATTCATTGACCATGCAAATACTTTGAATTCAACCAATGGAAATAATCTCATGACTGAACAACAATAATTTCAGTTTTAACACGTACAATAAAAACATTTACTTTGTTAGTGTGCATCATGTTTAGAGCTGAGAAACTGAGTTTGGAAAAATAAGTTCCATTCCTGACTTGGTTATAGACCTTTTTTTTTTTAATCTTGACTGTATAAAAAACATCCAGCTAAAACTTGGTGCTCAGAGTTCCTCGGTATTTGATTCCCATGTGTGAAGGACTGAAGCTGCCCTTCAGGGACCCTTAGCACAGCGATGTGACAATGGCAGAGTGCTTTGCCTCCTGCTGCTCCAGAGGAACTGCAGAAGAAATGTATCCACTCTATGTTAAAGAGCCACTGAGGATAACTAAGAAGCATATTTTCTAGTGTTTGGGTTAAGGAGTTAGTTGGGCAAGAGCCAGGATTAAAAGAACTGCAATAACTCCAGGTTGTAGGTCTCAGTTGATTGTCCAGAGGTTTGGCTTATTTCAAAACCACCCTGAATTTTGGCAAAACCTAGGTTCTGCCTCTTCAAACCTCATTAACAATTTCAGTGACCCAAATGCTGCAGAAACATCACCAAAGCAGCATGGATAAGGAAGGAAATGTGATGTGAGGAAAGATAAAGGACTTTTGACAGATGACCTTCTTGATCAAGCATATACAAGTAATAAAGGGTAATTTTAAGGCTTATGCGACCTGTTCTGACAAGAGCTGGTGAGTAAATCTCACTGATATCTCTGACAGAGGATTCTGCAAGAAACCCCTTATTTGAGATTTGTGGTAGTGAGCTGAATGTTTGGAAAGGAGACTACAAAACTTTTCAGTCTCAGTTTCTAGCACTAAGGAAAACTAAAGAACCGGACCTGCTCCCTGTAGCTGTTTTCCTACTTTATTTATTTTCTTTCAAAGGGCTTGGGCTTCAGCTCCCCTCTTCAGATAAACCATATCAAAAATAGGTGTGGGAACATGCACTTGCAGCAGCAGAGTGTACAAGCCTGTAGCTGTTCCCTGAAGAGAGCCTGGTGTCAACCACTCTGGGTGCTAAAACTTGAAATATCTCATTGGACACTCTGGCTTTTTGCAAGCCCCTCTGAGGCTGCAATGTCAGAGGGGGCAGATTTAAGTTTAAATTCAATTTATTGATTGATATTTAATAATTTTTCTTTACCAAAACTAGACTAATAAGTCCCCGAGGCCACACTCTTCCCTACACTTGCTGCTAAGAAAAGAAAACTGCACCAGATCTTTGGCTGATACAAATGGGAATAACATTCATGTGTCCAGGGCAGAGCTACAAATTAACTGAAGTCAATCTAAGTCTCAAATTTTATTTTCTACAGCTAATTTTCACAGTTCCACATTGAAGAATGTAGAGAATAGGATTCTTATAACACTTTAACACCTATTGCTATATAATTATTCACAGAGTATTTTCATGATTGACCTCTAGAGAAACAGGAACAGATTTTTCATTTTTCATTTCCAACAGGCAAACTGAGTAAGACAGAATAAAACACTTTTTCCAAGAGTCATGGATTAAACGGGACCAAGAGCAGGGAATCTTGGATCTGTTATCTCCTTTAGATCAGATTGCTGAACCTTTTTTCTGACGCCAGTCAGAACTGTTGAGGTATTGTGGACTGCTTATTCTGCTTTTTGGCAGCTCTGCTAATTCTGTGCAAAGTGGTAAGATTTAAATGTATGACTTTCACCACTGCTGCCCATACATTGATCTCTGAAGTCCTTATGTTTGTTTAATATAAGATAACTGAAGATAACATTCATAAATTCAGGAATACCACATAAAATTACCCCTCTGAGAAAAGACCTGTTCCACTAAAATACACCAATGGACTCTAATGATGGAATTTTGTTAAGGAACCCTCTCAGTGTTAGTGTGCAAATGACACCAAGAAATTAGAATTCTTTAATACAAACCTTTCTCTGCCATGCTGGTCCCATCAATGCCCCCCTCTGTTCTCAGCAGTGACAGAGATGGGAGGGAGAGAGGGGCATCTCATGGCATGGCCTGTGGCACTCAGGTCCTCGAGCTGGCCCCGCACCGAGCACCTCCAGGCCAAAATCATCTGTTTCAGAGAGACCTTCTGCCAAGGATGGATCTGGGGCTAGCCTGAAACACACATTCACTACTTCTGTATGAGACTGGTTGCTGCTGCCCAGACTACTCCTGTGTAATTTGGAGGATAATCTGGGTCAAATGAGGAAGATCTTTTCATTTTGCTAATGACTGGCAATAGTCTAAACAAGAGATTAAGATGACTATATGATTTCTTTGCTCCTACACCAGAAAAAATTGTGTTTGTATTTACCAGAAATCTTTTATAGGAACATTAATTTCTAACTAAAGCTTTTCTACCGTATGGAACAGATATTATACTTTCTCAAAAGAAAAAAATAATCAGTTCTTTTATAATGGAATATTTCTTTGACTGTTTCTATAGAATGATGGGGAAGACTGGTAACCATAAGGTTTTATCTGTACAAAGAGAAAATGTCAATACTTGTTTGCTGCAAAAGATCTGAAATTGGAGCTAGTAACCTCAGTATACCTGAACATGCAGAAGGTGCAAATCTCCTGTTTGCAAAACTATGAGCTTTTCACTTCAACTCCTTTTCACTTTTGCTCCTGTCGTAACCACAAGCTATAAGTTAACATACATTTAGGAAGAGCAAGTAGATTGTTATTTAGGATAACTAGCATTAATATACAATGAGAAAATAAATCCTAATTTAGATACAGAACTAACAGGCATGAAAAAACAGAGATATGAGAGGCACAATGAAATGGGTCTATTTCTAACACACTAAAACCCTTACCATCATCCTATCAATATGGTGATTAAGCTTTATCAGCCATACAAAAATTGTTGTCCTTATTTATTTTTTGTGTTGTCACCAGTTTTCAAATGCAAAAACTTAAGGTGTAAAATTTAAAAAAATGTAAAAGTCACAATAATTAAAGGAAACGGTGAAAGTTCATCTCTGTGAAATTAAAATTAAAAAAAAATAAGAAAAAGAAAAAAAGGAAGGAAGGAACGAAAGAAGGAAGGAGTTTAAAAACCTAGATGTTTAGACAGTCCTGCAAACCCCCTTGTGACCTTATTCTGATATTTAACAAAACATTAATCTTCTTGCCAGCAATTATAAAGAATACAGTGATGTAGCTGGGGCTCAGTGAGTGAGTAATAGTAATTCCATTGTTCTCTTTTATTTATGCCTTGGCTGTACCAGGCAGATGAGGTAAGTTGGGGCTTTTTATATGTTATTATTCTGAACTGGCAATACATAAAGGCTGATTACACAAATATCTGTCTGTTTCTGAAGCACTGTTTCACACCTCCTTCCAGCTCATGATCAAAGCGTTTCAACATTTTATTATGAAATCATGAATCTCTGCTTAGTTTGCATATGAATTATAGCCTTTAAAAAAAACCCACACTGGTGTACAACAGTGACAGTGCCTTTTGAACCAAGGAACAAAACAAGGTGTTACACATTACTTCTGGAAGGCAACGACTTGCTGATTAATTCTGTTTGCTGGAGCACAGTCCAGCCTCCCTAGTGAATACATAAGCCTTGAGACCAAAGACATTTTTTTTGTGAACAGGCCAGTGATTTTTCTCCTCTTGTAAGAAAGCGAGCTCTATTAAGAAGTTGAGAAAACGTTGTCGTGTAGCTGTAACCAAAACAAAACTACAAGAGCTTCCCTCTGCTTTTCTGAAATGCAGTAGCTATTCTAAAACCGGAAAAGAATCCAATTGTCCAGTTAATAACATCCCACTGTACAAACCTTGCATTCTGAAGGTTGTTGAGTGGGTTCCAGCCATGTGCATAGAGCACATCAAAAGAAGACAGTGAAGGACAGCTCCCTAAGCCATATTCAAGTGTCCTGCACCTACTTAGAAATGCTGTGGTGTCTTTAAGATTCACATTTACTAAATTTCTTGATGTTCAGTCTTTCTGCTTCAGAAAGATGATGGTCAAGGTATCCACACTGATATTTTTACTTTCTTAGAAACTTGCATTTCAGAGTCACAGGACTGTGAATCAGGGATAAGACATAAGACTGAGTTTTGTAAGAGTAGCATCCAGCTCCTGATACTTATGCCAAGATGGGGCACTCCTGTATGACATATACACCTGGAATGGAATGCCAGTGGTTGATCTTTTACATATACCATGTTTTCCTCACAGTAGTCTGAAAAAGTGTAATTCCTATAAAATATAAAATATGCTAAGGATTTTCCAAGTTTGCTTTGCATCATACAAATATTGAACTGTGAACAATCTTATGGATAGAAATAAAATTTTATTAGGTTTTACTGTCAGTAATTTGCAACGACTAATTTTTTTGAAAGCCATGCCATTTCTGTCATTTCAGTTAAAGCAAGATTTGGCCCATAATTATTGACATCTTTTTTTTGTAATGACATCTTCCCCCTCTGTTCCCTTCTATGTATTGGCAGATGCAGATCATCTTTATAAATCTGATAATGATGTCACCAAATCAAAATTTAAGGTAGGAAGGTAAAGAGAAACTACTTCTGTTTCATGACCTGCTAAAAGAATGATCTAAACTCTGAGTGCTGCACTTCCACACAGATGAACAGTGAAAGACATGTGGCCA